TGGATTGACTTTTCTATGTAGACAAGTTCAAGGCGCTGGTTTAGAGCGCAATTTGCGATCCTTGTACAATTTTATTCTGTGATTTTTTTCAAACAAGTATGTCGTGAAAATCCCTAGTATCAAGATGAGCTTTTAGTACCTGAACATTTTAATTTTCGAGTTGAACACCAGTGATTGCGTAGCAAAAAGGTGAACATTGATACAACTAGTTGATGTAGCTTCAAAAAAAAAGTAGTAGTAGTAGCGAAAAAACGGCGCTCAAAAGCAAACCTTTCGGTACCTTTTGCTTGTTGTAAATGAGGATAAAAATATTTTGGTCAAATGTTTCTTGCGCATCATAATTAAGTTCCCTCGTAGTTCGAGTTTGCATGAATGTACGATAATGAGTTTGAAACAAAGGAAAATAAACAATTTTGTAAAAGAAAAAACTGCCATTAAGTTGTTCTGATGGGAAATTCTCAGCTAAAAATCTCAAATGGTCATGCAGTGTTTCTGAAAAAAATAAAGAACTAATTCACGGAAACTGTTAAAAATTGAAGGATGACTAAAACAAGTAAACTGCGATGGCATAAAATTTAATGGATCTCTTGGTTAAAAGGAATTAAACGAGAGATGATCCAGCTTGTAAATCCTGCCTTGAGTGTCTGAGTTCTCAGTTTCTCGTCGATGTAAATCTTTTCCATCCTTAGCTTAGCCCTTTACGACAAATAGGAACTTTTAAAATGTAAAACTCACCCAACCACAAGAAACCGGAATATTTTATTATGCTTAAAATAAAAAATTTTTTGCAAAGTCATACAAGCTACGGTTACTGTACAAATTCTATAAAAGATGTTTATTGTCTCCTTCGAAGTAGAAGAAGAATTCCAAACAGGAGGGCAAGTCCTGTCATTGCATAAATATCCCAGTCATCGCCAATAAATTTGGTAAACTTTGACAAGTTCAATGATCCGTAATTCTAAAAAAAAAATCGATAGAAAGGGAAAACTATGGAAAGAGACTTTCATTTGAAGATCTGAAAGATTAGTCTGGGCCAGTCGATCACGATCTCTTCGTAATAATGGTTGGCTGTGCCAGGCTCTCTTGGTCAGAGGAGACAAGCAATGTAGCAGGGGAATAACGCTTGACGGTTGTCATGGGAAACAAAAGCGAAAACTTGAGTCCACTTTAACTATCCTATTTTTCCTCTCGACATTCCGTCCACTTTCCGCCCGTTTTAGGGCTATTCTGTGATCTTTTGAACGATGTATATAAACACCTCTAGTACATTTTACATCTTTCAATTCTGTTCAATCTATTTTTAAAAGTATCTGGGAGAAGCTTAGCGAAAGCTATCAATGCCGGTAACTTTGTAGAAAATATTTCTCTACGTGAAAAAGCGAAATTCTGAAAACAGATGTGGGAGGTGAATTTAAAGCTTTTAGGAGCAATTTCCTCTGATACCTCTTGAATCCATTCCCAAGTAAAAAACACGCCTAGCTTCAACAGAGCTAGTGAGACTGGGGCCTGGGCATCAGGGCTGGTCTGAGCTGCCAAGTCGCTAAACCTTTTGGCAAGATGAATGTCCTGACGGAAAAAATTCTCACTCAAGTTATTGATATTTAACAAATAATTTAGACCCTTTAGTTACATACCTTTTCAATCTTTAAATTTCCAGTAGTGAGTAACATAAAGTGGTCTGAATTTCATTGTATGGTGGGTTTAAATTAACCTCAGGCAGAGCATAAATTTTAACAAACTGGAAGCTTATTGGCTCAAGTTTTGAAGATTTGGGTTCAAACCCAAACTTGTAAAGTTACAGGAATTTTGGATGCTTCTCATGAACTTCAGCTGTATGCTTAAGAGATGGGTTTTGAAATAATGTAACCTTCATTAAATCAGGATATTTCTTGCTCTTCTGCTCTGGGAAGAATCATTCTCTACAACCTTCCATGACCAACATTCAATTTTCATGTCACTTTAAGTGTTCCATCAGAAATAACGTTGCTTTACCTGTCTCATGCCCAGTTCTCTCTTGTGCATGTAGCCCAGATTAAACATTACCTATGCACTATGTTGCTGTTCAGAAGCAACTGTAGTGGATTGCTGCTGTTTCATAGTCAATATCTGTTCCAAATCCATAGTAATGATAATCACCAACTTTCACTCTTGCTGCAGTGTTTCCTTTCAATGACAATGAAGAAAAAAAAAGATCAGACGTTGATTATTCAAACATTGATACCATTAGTTTCTTCAATAATCCACCTGTCTATTAAAGTGAAGTTGATTTATTTTCTTGTAGGCTGAATTGGATAAAGCTATTGACTTCCTTGATCCAATTGATACTGATGTACCAAAGGAAGGCAAATCTTACTTCTGGAGTAATCCTGGCTTTTAATTTTTGGGACCTTCTAATGGCTGTTCCAAATTAGCTGATTGATTGTTATCAAAATCAATCAACTATTATCTATTTTTGTTGACTTTTGAAATTATCAACACGTTACACATGGTCCTGTATATTTGTTTAGGAAAGAAAGACCTTCTGGATATACACAACTTTCTCTGAACCTCTTACTTTAAAAATGACAAGAATTATTTTCCTTCTCTATTTAATAATTAATAATATTTAGTACTGTTGGTTGGTGTCCTCTCCAGGCTCATGGAGTATCCAGTTTGAGCGTGAGAGTGGCTTGGTTACCCTGCACAGCCTACACTGGTTAGGCTTTGCTTTCTATCATGTACCAGGCACACTAAAGTATGGATCAGTGTATGTTGGTGTTGGTACCAAAAATCTGGATCTTCCTTTTATGCTGTGAAGGGACAACTTCATGCACAAGTTTTATGTATTATAGTGTATTTAACGATATTTACACACAAATAGTAAGAACAACTTGAGCGCAGTTTTAATATTATTGCATTTATCAACACTCTGTTTTTTTTTAAACCAATAAATATTTTTTGCACTCATTGAGGCGAAGAAAGAAGAAAGCATCTTTTAATGTTGTGCTATCATTTTTATTTGAGTCATCTAAAAGCTTGTCAGGTATTTCAGTCATGCAGAACCCATACAAAAAAATTAAAATGAATTTGTTGTTATTTGAATGACATTTTACCAAATAAACATATTATTATGCTTGTATTGTTTGCAAAGAGTGATGAAATCACTGCTTATAAATGAGTTTGTTGTCATTTCAAAGACATAGTAAACATAGTATTCTGCTTCCATTTTTTCTTGGAGAATATTTCCATGAGGCAAAAAAATTGGGCAGCAGGTCTTTCTGAGGACTTCTCTTTTACCACCAGAGTAAGACTGGGCT